ATGCATTCAGAGCCATACTTTCCAAGAGCAAGATATGTTCAAGATTTACTGCAAGATCAGCACAGAACAATGATATTTTTGGTATATCGAGAAAGAGGATTTTTATAGAACATCTGGCCCAAGTGAAGCATGAAATGGTCTGAAAATATCTCAGCTGTCCCTGTATTGATCTGACCAACTGCAATGTGCAGAAAAATTCATGAGACGAATAGATAGATAGATAGATAGATAGATAGATAGATAGATAGATAGATAGATAGATAGATAGATAGATAGATATGCTCGAACACACAGAAAGGCACAAGCTATGACAAAATATACAGCAGTATTTAATATCGTTACGCTTCGTTGAGGTTATGTATCTGTGGATCACTTTGAAAACTGCAAGCATATTAAATCAGCTGTGATCACAGTGTACTCCTGTATGTTGGAAGCATGAGACGATCAGCTCTGATAAAGGTCTGCATACTGCTCATTTCCATACGTCTCCCCTTGATCAAGTCTGCTCATTTATCGTCCAAATCTGAGATGACAAGCCTTTACTTATTTTCCCAGCTGCCGATGGTGATGAGAGCGTAATCAGAAACATCATTAGGTCCTACATAGATGGCTGTGCCTGTTAGTCCTTTTATCCGCACCCATAATAACTCTGAAAATGCAAATCAACTCCAGGTAATCTATTAATGTCACTTCAATTTTATGTCTACACTCCAATTTAGCAGATCTTGACACATTTGGCAGGGATCTGTGCTCTCATACAGGTATTCATTTTGCTGAGGTTTCACAGAGCATGGCCCATGCAAAGAGGAGATGGGCCATCTGTCTACGTGCCCGTTTATTAATCGCCCTGATAATGAAGCGAACTCACAGCCCAACACTCCTGGGGCAACTCTCACATGAGTTCCAACCGGCAAAACAACTTTCAGCAAGTTTGTTTCGCAATGTGGCAATTATTGTCATTTGCACCCCCCCTTAGCACAGGAAGGAGGGTCTAGCAACCTCCTCCTAATTACCTGTTGTGTCACTTCAAGCAGATTTTGTAATTTCCAACTACATCACAACCCCCTTGTTAGCTGCAGACGGGTGGCAGAGCCTCATAATTCCAGCATATGGTCGACAGACATACAAGGGAATTTGTCAGCTTGTACTGGCCTTAAAGTTGAAGACCCCATTAACAGGAGAACAAAATCTGTTAATCTTGTGAGCTCTTTGCAATCCATGTGAAAGAATTAAAATTCTAATCATGGACCGGCTTGCAAAAATAAGCAGCTAACTCCCTCAAGTGACACTAAAACAGTTACAATGTAATGAAGAAACTGAGGTAGTATACCTACGTATATTGTTCATTGGATCAAATGAATGGATAATAATTTGCACCCTATTTGTCTGAGGATTAGAGGATATTATAAAAACAGAAAAAACAGAATTATCCAGATTATATTTAGTATCCATTATTAAAATGGCAATTATTAACATTTTTTAAATCTATAAGATAATTTATTAGCATGAGTATTCTGGGTATGGTTTCTCATAGTGATGAATTGAGATTGCTCACAATGTTAAAGCAATAGTCCCTAAAGGAATTACAAGCAACAAGATACAATATCAAGAAATAAACAACAATTTTGTAACATATGGCACATATGTCGAAGTAAATAAAAATGCAAAAATATAGGAAGACTACAAGTCATGCGCAAGACAACTGAATTACAATAAAGTTTTCAGGGGACACCACATAAGACAATGTTCACAGTAGGTAGAGGTGAAATTTGAGGGAGGGGGGTTTTCAGGTGCAGTCGTTTTATTGTTGACAACCGATTCCATTCAAACCAGAACGCAGAGGAACGAACAAAAGAAAAGAAAAGATGATACCGAAAGCAAATTGAGTTTTGAAAGTGGCCCATTTTTGTGATCTGCCAACTTTACCATGAGTTTAGGAAAAATTTAATTTTCAGAAAGCTGTACGTGATTTGCTCAGATATTCACTTTTTATTGTGCTTAATCATAAATCTATCAATTTTAGGTGGAGAGTTCATAGCTAGTATGAGCCACAGTAATGGGAAATGAAGTGGAATTATTCATAAAGGGTTTGAGCAGCCCAGAAAAATAAAAAATAAAAAATCAGTTAACACAGTTTTGAAGAAATTTTGTAGAAGCATTTTACCCCTAGAAAACAATTCAATGTAATGCACTCACAGAAGTTCTAGCAGCTTATGCTAATGGTTTCAAATGTGTTCTGACAGATTTGGCAGATTTAGTGAAGTTAAAACCTTTGCTTTCCCCTTCATCTTATTGTTCCACTGTACCTACAGAGACAATTCACTAAACAATTAAAATGTGAGTCACCTCCATTTTCAGCTATTCAGGAAAATGAAAGTCAGACAAAAGTCACAGAAAGCCACACGTCTTATCCGACTGGCCCTTTTTAAAGGAAGAACAAAAGGTATTTCTCCTTCATTTCCCATTAACCTCTATGCTCCTGCGCACACAGGATACATGGCGACCTCGGTGACCCGTGTCACATATCTCATGCGGCTGTGGGGACCGTTTCCTATGGGGGATGGTGACATTCAGTACGAGGATTCTCTATCTAGCCATAGTCCTTGACAGATAAAAGGTAGGTGTTGATATTTGTCCCTGGTCTCGCTGATACTGTGTGGATACACTCCCGATAAGCAAGGAGCTGCGAAGACATTGATGAAGTCTGAAGTGGAACTGACAAGCTCTGTAAGTGGATAACATCGTCAGGAGAAGCAGGCTGTTACGGTCTGGATTAGATTTTGATTATTTGACACAGGTGGGTTCACGCTAAGCAGAAATTCATCAGCACACTCAGCATTGTCTCAGCTTAGTACCAAATGTAATGCAACGTTTTTTAGCATGTGCAATATTGCATTTTATTGTTTCCCAGTTTCTTGTCACTGTGAAGATTTGCTCATACGACTTCACCATCTTCATCTCTGTTCTGCTCTCTTTCCCGTGGACTTTATTAGTTATGCGCCACTCAAAACGCAGGAATCCACCGAGTCATGTGCAAATTCTAATTTACTGTAAAGAATCCGATGATTTATGAATATGAGGCGAGCGAGACGACTTATTGTTTGTTTGTCCAGAGAGCTTAATTCTCCCCATAACACCACAGCACATGAAAACTTAACAAGAAGGAAACCAGTTGCTAAAAGAAAAGCCTTTCAAGCTAACAACTGAGCCTTCATGAATGTTTAATTAATCAGTAGTGACAAAAGGGAACAACAATCAACAAAGAGATGCCGATTTCCATTTCTTATGCATTATTCCCACTGGCAAATCACAGAGTGCTGTCAACTACCACTTTGCTCTCTACCCTATCACTATGGTTGTTACCGCACTCCACTGACAAAACCCTTGGAGAGCTACAGTACATTTCATTTGAGATCCAAAGCTGAGCAGCAGGGATCAAGTAACAGAGTTCAGACAAGAACAGTTCACTGTTACTTTGTGTTTACATGGATACTTTTGCATTGTGTTTTGTTCCTTTTTGCTTCCACAGCAACAGCTAATAAGAGTCAGATACAGTTATCATGAGAAGCTGCACAGAAATATATATTTATATAGCTTTCCCCGATGCAAAGACTGCATCCTATGGGGTGTACCAAATAGACTCCATTACACTCCTAACACCGTCTGTCCTGGCGAGTTATGTCAGCTTTGTGACAGGTAACAAGAGGAAGCTCACTGAGGAAACACAATAACAAGTGTATACCACCCAACAACGGACCCCAGCATCCTTGCTGAACTCCTGCAATGTCAACACAGCATAAAGACACACTCTGATCTCCTTCCTGCTACTGATGGAAGCATTTTTTTCTACAAGACTCAGCTGCGCCGGGGTTAGTAGTGAGGGTCTCAAAACAGTGTAACAATCCACTTGCAGGCTTCTGTCTGTCCTAGATGAGCTGCATTATCATCATGCAGTGGTCATTTAAATGCATGGATGAAATAAGAAGGAGAATATATGAATATATTAGCATACAAGGGCAAAAGTTTTGCGTACCAGTTTGAGGGGGCTTGAGGAATAGTAGCTTGCAATTGGCGTCCGTCAGTATTGTTGCGCTAACTGACAGTTTATGGGTGCACATGCAAACATGTTTCTCAACCATGATATTATTATAATGCTTAAATCTTGAAGTAACAGCCGTCCATATCAAGCCTTTTCTACTTTGAGGACTGTTAGGCTTTACTGTTGTGAAAGATGGGAAAAAAGACTAATTGTAAATGCTTTTGACACAAAATAATGCAGTCCACAGAGGTTCACCCTCTTAATCTCCTTGCCATTGCTTTCAACATCAATCAGTATTATATTCTGCACTTTTAAATCCTTGGATAAACATCTATTATAGTGTGCTATAATAATTTTACAGTAACTGACAGAAAGTGCAATACCCCCGCCCCCCACAAAAAAAAATTAACCCAAAAATGGCCCCTGACCTACACAAAGTGGAGAATAGCAGATTTATGCCCTAAGGCAATATCTACATATGCTGCTGTAGCCTGTCCGAAATGTACCACTGGTGCCTTTCAGCTTGTGCAGAATTTTGATTGTGTATGAAAATTTTAATAACTCACCACATGCTTGCCACATGTGGTGAGTTATTTAATTTTACAATCTAATATCTGTCTCATGTTTCCATATTGTTAGTTCTTTGTAAGTGAGCTGTTTGTTGAGAGCCTTCCCTAAGTGTGTGTCGACATTGACGCTCGATGTTCAGTCACAGCACTGAGCTGTGGGTGAAGTCCTAGTGATTTGATTTGATTTATCATTCTTGTATTTTCATTTGTGGAAAAATACTCATAGCAGGCAAGCGTGTAAATAGGCATACTCATTTCCTCTTGTTCTTATTCACTCATTATTTTTATGCAATAGCCCATTAGAGATCAGCCGTCTCGGAAATCTCACAGACTGATTAGGCTGCTGTGTGAGGCAGGGAGCAGAAATGAGCTCTGTCTGTATTGTGACTTACCAACAGCAGACATTTCTTCAACAGCGGCATGATACGGGCCTTCGGTGAACTTTGGTGCATTGTCATTTATGTCCTGGACTTTGATGATGAACTCAGTCATGGGCTCCAGAAGCTGGCCTGTAATACCATTAGTGACTTTGGCGGTTAGTGTGTATTCAGCCTTCTCCTCGCGGTCCAACCTCTTCATCGCGTGGATGTCACCTGTCTTCTCATTGATGGCAAAGATGGTGCCTGCCCCCTCACCTGAAAGGCTGTATCTGGCTGTGTCATTGTCCACCTTGTCTGTGTGAAGCTGCAATTAAAATGAGAAGAAAAATAAAGGATAAGTTCAATTTTGTTACAAAGTTCTCAGTTTTTTTCCCAGAGTGTAAAGACAAACTTAGGGAGCCGGGTGTGAAGAGCTTTTAATGAATGCAAGCTGATATGCTCAGCAGATTCTACAAGTTCTCACCACATAAATGCAGTTAAGTATACAGTATGACCATAATGCGCTGTTTGCACTGCTGTACTCTGTGGAAACTAGATACTAAAGCTCAGCATAGCCTACACTTTGCTAAATGAGGCCCGCTGGGGACAATAACTTTATAAGTTGCACAGGAAATGGACCTTAGTCTAGGTTGTTCCTCGTTATACATCACAAATACATCACACAAACATGTGTTATGGGGTATATTGCTCCCTACAGTATGAAATTTACCGGACAAAGACGTTAGATGTCCTTTCAATGTTCATCGTACTACGCTGGAAAAATAAGAAATCCATTAAAAATTCAACAGGAAACTCTACACACAATGATGCATTCTCTCAAACTAGCCCCAAAGATACTGGACGATGGTTCATATTTCTCATTATTTTTGTAATTACCGTTTCATTAGTTCACTAGAACTGCATGCCCGGCTGAGTGGTTGGATCCGACTCATTGCACGGGCTGAGTATAACTAATGAATTTGACGATGCGGCATGAAGCTGTTCAAATATCTGCGCTGAGAAGAGCAGGCAAAATATTCTGCTGTTTCACGTTAAAAGGGTCAACTGAAAGGGCACAGGATACAATGGTATGGACACAAAGAGGTCAGGGAAAAAGAGAAAGAGCCGCCTTTTGACTCAAAAGAAGCAAAGAATTTAATTTTTGCTCCTATAAAGAGACAGAGCATTTCCTGTACTTGAAAGTCACCTTTCATATAAGCCTCTTGAATCCTAAAGTGAGTGAGTTTCAGAAGGGAGGAGAAGCAACATTTACAAATCCAACAATATAGCTGGGACATGGCTGGCAGCACTCTTCTTTTCAGTTTGTATTTTTGTCAACTTATGCGTCTCTTAAAAACACACATGCACACACACACACACGTGACCAAGTACACAGTCATACATCAAAACATCTGTATTCAGCAGCTTTAATTTCATTCCCTGCCACGGCGTTTCAACAGAGGTTCCTGTGGGAGCACGCTTAGGGTATAGAATAGCAAGGTAGAAATGTGTTGGTGACTACAGACCCCTAAACCCCCTGCAATGTTTTCAGAACCTGGCTTTTATGCATATACTGTCTCCGAGGTGTTGTTTGCAGACACTGACAAAGCACATTCGCTTAAATTGTCACACCTTGCACTTTTGTTTTCCTAATTGTGCCATCATTTCACATGAATGATGTAGCTCATTAACACAAATGCCTCGCAACATCCTGCACACTGAGAAACTCTTTAAATGAGCTCAAATTAATGATGGTCTGTCATTGTTTTTTTTGTTTTTTTAAATCCCATGCATGACTACTTATGTGAAGTCTAAAGCCTGCAGCTCAGCATATATGACTGCATGTTGGTGCTTCCCGCAACGGGAGGCAAACTGACTATTTTAGCAGCATATTGGTTTTGGTTTATTCATTAATCATAAATATTTTTAGGTAAGCATCCTGGATTTAATCCTGGTTTGTTTCAATGTGACGCGCCACTTCTTCACTCTGTACTTATGTAAAGTAAAAAAAGAGAAAAAGAAAACCTTTTTGATCAGCTGCAGAGCAATACTGCGATTTTATAGTACTGTGATTGTGTCTGTTTCCATATGTAATGCCCACAGAGAGCTTACAGAGAGACGTTTTCAACCAACGCAAACGTGCTTCTGTGGTGTCATCCAACTGCACTTTGCTCTATATAAAAGTACAGGCAGGGGCTGCAGTGGACACTGTTTTATTGTTTTTAGCACTCTGTTTCACTTCAGTACTGTGTCTGCTATAATCCCACTCTTCTCTGCGGCTGGCTGATGGACCAAAAACAGTTTAAAGAAGAGTAGCCCAAAGACTGGTTGTATATTTTTGACACTTCCCCCACATATTTTAATAATACCCCATTTGCCCCACTACCTGCTCTCTCCAGATAGAAAGCTGGCAATAGCTGCTCACACACTGCTTAGGGACTTCAAATGTGCTACCACCGCTGAACCATAATTTGGCCTTGAGGCAAGCTGAATCCTGCTTGTCTGCTAGTTTTGTCTTGAGGACTGGACCACTTTTCATGTCTGTCTTCCCCTGCCTCCATCTCAGTGTCTGAGAGTCTTAAAAATAAAGCCCACTGTTGCCTGCTTGCCCCAAATAAAATTCAAATAAAATTACGGCCCATGTTTATTCCAAGCTGGAGGTCGCTCCACTGAGTCATACTGCCATGTACATCTGTGCTGTGCCTGTTCTCCTATTAAACCCAGAGGACTTGCACAGGTGTAGATAATTTTGTGGAGTTGTATTTAAGAAATTTTAAACATTTTCAAAAACAAAAATGCAATAAAAAGTGTCTAAAAATCTACTTTAAAGAACAACAACAAAACATGCAACTTATAAAGCAATCAAAATATTTTAAGAAAAAAACCACACCATAAAAATCACACTGCGAAGTGCTATAATTACTACAACCTCATGACACTTAAATAGTTTCAATAAACAAGTGAATAGAACCTAAGTAAAAATAAATAAATATTTAAATAAATAAATATTTATTTAAAAATAAACAAGTTTGTATTGTATTATGGTCCCAGTACTGGCTTAATATGTGATGAGTGTGGAGATTAATTCTTGCTCTCTGAAATGCTTATCCATGGTTGTATGCTATAAACTCATCGCATGCTGGAAACGACCTACAGTATTATCATGTGACGAAATAAGATACTGTGGTTTTCTCACATACAGTTAAATCATAAAAGCTGATTTTAAATTCGATTTTAGATGTATGGATATTGGTGCCTGTCTGTGATTCTCACGTACTGGTCAGCAGGCACGTGCAGAGGGAGGGGCTAGAGGGGCTTGAGCACCCGCCCCTTTCCTGATGGGTGCCCAAAGTGCCCTTTTGTTGAGGCAACTTTTCAAAAAAAAAGTTATTATTATTATTTTCTTTGTGTGTGTGCGTGCGGAGTCCTGTCTGTGCCCCTCAACAATAATATTTAACTATTAATCACAGTTTTGCTAAATAAAAGGATCTGGCTTGCATCAGTCACATGATCACATTTAACCAATGATCGCCCTTGACGGCAGAACGCGCTGGTTACGAGCCGGGAACGAGCTCACAAAGAGCACGCGCATTTTAGCGGTCCGGAGCTGTAGGAGAAACACAAGTTAACTCAGAGACACAGACTGATGCGACAAAACCAGTAAGTAGGTGTACAGCGTACACTGTAGTGTATAGCACCCAGGAGTATTAGCTTATTATGTACACGTTGTCTTGTTGCAGCTGACGAACTGAAACAAACGAGCATGCTGTGTGTGCAACATCGTGACAAACATTACCTGTCCTTTTTTATTTTATTAATGTGTGTGTTTTATTTAGATGGATTTTTAAAAAAAATATTACTCATGATATAACATTGTCCAGACATGCCTGGTAAGGACATGAGGAGGAAACAGCAGGAACTGTGTGAGGCTACTAAAGGCAGGGCTATAACATTTTTCTGTCATCATTTAGATTAAGTGCAAGAGTTGTTAGGTGTGGATAATTAAATTATAGTTTATTGCAATAGCAAGTTGTGCCTTGTTCTCAGATAGACAGCAAGTGGAGAGTGATATATGAAATGATGGGATGGAAGGAAGAAGAGAAGCAAAGAGTGATTCACAGGCAGAGCCTAAATTATTTCTCACAGTTTTTTGTTGCCTTATGGTTCCAAGCGCTGTCACCAATCTTTGCATTTTGTTATTATCTCATGACACTTGTTTAATCAGCTACCATCTCTCCTGTGGACTTTTTAATGTCTACAGTCTCAGATCAGCACAGCCCTGCCCTCCAGCACTATCTACAGCAACCCCTCAACAGCAACATTGTACCCATCGGATAAAGCATCGGCTACGTTTGCTTTGCCTTGTTGCCCATATTAGATTCTTGATGAATGTGTGTTGTTGTTATTCAGCCTGGCTCAATGTGCCCCTTTTTAACTTTGAGCACCCGCCCCTTTAAACCTCTCTGCACGGCCCTGCTGGTCAGGATGCGCCTTGTACAACACCTTGTACACATGGATGCTTGAGACATGGCATGTCAGATTGTTTTTCCTCATTAATTAACCAAGAAACCAAACATAATGAAAAATATTAAAATTAAGTTGCTAAATTAAATAGACTGTGTCAAACACCTAACCCCTGTTTCCCACCCAGCAAACATAAGATAGCAAAGACAGTTTTGAAGCTGAATAATCTAAAAAAAAAAAAAAAAAAAAAAAAAACATTTAGAAAAAAAACTAATGCCCACTAAAGATGAGTACTACTGATTAAAACACATTTTGAGCTAAGATGGGGTTAAATCTTTTGTCTCTTAGCTTCTATAAGCATTTTTTTCTCTTCTTTTTTTTAAAAATGACATTAAACCATTGTATAGATTCAAGGTAGAGCAATGTTGCCTTGTCACAGAAACCTAACAAAAATTCAGAAGATGAATAAAAGCTTTATAGAAAGGCATGCTGTGTTTCTTTTGAAAAAGAAAAGTCACACATTCAGTCATTTTCCCAGAAGCTGCCACTTTTGACTTTAAATTCACGAAGGGTTGAGTTGAGCTAGCTATAACCAACAACAATCCTCAAAACTGTCTCCTCTAAATGCCCTGGGAACCCACTTCGTACACAGCCTTCACACTAGAGTGCACAAATTCTCATCAAAGAGTACAATTATGTGAAAAAAAAAAGTCTGTCACAGGTCCCTGTCATTAACTGAGTTGCCTGGGCAACTAAAACAGCACCAACAATCAGTGACATTGACTGTGGCATTCAGGAAACTAACAGATAATGGATAACAACACTGTAGTTGTGATGATTATGTGCTACACTGGTGTCAGA